GAGGTGTGAAGACATACTTGCCAGATATGATCACCAACTTGTTTTTGTCTGATCCAAAAGATTTTATCTGAATTACATAACATGTTCTTTTAAGTAGGTCCTATTGCAAAAGCTGCCTAAGATTACAAACCATCTGATCTTCTCAAGAGCAGAAGCAGGTGCAGTGTTGTTGCCCCAGCGGCTTCACTATGGAGTGACATTATGAACCTTTCTTTCTGAATCCGTGCATCAAGCTCTGTTTTAATAACTGAGATACTTAGTACCCAGGTAGACACCCACCCACGCGCACGCAATTTTTGCTGCTTGTCTGTCCAGTAATTAACCTTCTGGGTGAAAACTGGAGAAGTGTTCAGAAGTTGTGCCTGGAATCAGTGTTAAGAATCAACTGGATCATGACGAGACCTGCTTTCCTTCAGAATGTGTGCATGCCGCGGAGGAACGGGGAATCGAGATAGAGACTACCTTCTTTCTTTCTTTTTTTTTTTAAGGATTTATAAAATTGGTTAGAAATGTAACCATGGAGACATTTTTTTCCTCTGAAGCATTTTAATATACTTGAAAGAAAATAGACTTGATTTGGAGAAGTAATTCAGACACTTTTCAGCTCCTAATTTTATTAAATCTTTCTGCAGTGACTATTTAAGATTTACACACATTGTAATTTAATGAGATTTGACCCTTTTTTTTCCCACCCCCCAAGGACTAAGGTTTTCAAATGGAACAGGAAATGTAACTGTGGTGTTCATTTCCTCATCTCTGTCCGTGTGACCATCTCGGAGGTGACGTCCCAGTGTTACATGCTGTCTGTTGGATTGGTCTCATCGGTCTCCTCTGTATAGTTGTCGAAACAAAGCAAAGCCGTTGAGTGTGAGCAGTGGACGTACGGACTCCGGTTTTGGTTTTCCATAAGTACGTGATAAAGGTTATTGTGCTGGAGACTGGGTATAAAATTAAAACACAATCAGATATCAGGAAACTGTATTCAGGTACAAACATCCTTCGTTTTTTATAAGTATTTTATTGAAGTCTAAGAATTGCTGGCAATTAAGAATAGTACTGATTATGGCTTTCGTTATTGTTGTTACTACAAGCTACCTTAATTTTCCAAGAGTGGTGCCTTACTCTGTTTTTTCTTCTGATGTAGTCTTCCAATCAGTGTATATAACATTATCTGTCACTTATGGCTGGATGCCTATTTCATCGTCATGGGAACTCATAACTGTGTGATCTGGTAAGAAGGTGTTTTCCAGTGAAGGGATCAGAATGTAAGAATGCATCAGAGGGTTTCCGTAACCATGTTAACTTTCCACAGAAATTGTAAATTGTGCAAAAAAGAAAAAAGAAAAAAAGTTTGGGTTCATGCACAACTATTTTGATTCTCTTGTACATTTTGCTGTGAAATGCACTGAGATCTCAATACGAGTCCATGTGTGAGAAGTGGGGGAAGAATAAAATACCAAAATGATGACCTTGTTTTGTCTACAGACCCATCTGTCTGAGCTCATCTGGGCTCTCAAACTGTCACGTCCAAGCACCACAACCCGCAGTAATAATCGTTTCCTTCTACAGAACGATACGTAATGTAAGCCCTGAGCAACGTCTCTCTACTTTCCTGTAATACACCCCTTTGCCTTCCTGCGAACTGTGGAATACTTTGCTTTTATTCTTAAGTTCATAACACAAGTACAATTAATGACTGAAGCTTGCTGATTGAGTTCCTTTTTCTGCCTTCGTGCATTTGAAAAATCGGTTTATAAATGCACACTGAGAGAGCCACCTTAAGATGCGATTTCAGCGAACCTGCTAGTATTTGATGCTTTCCTTTTTACTGTTTCCTCTCTGTGGACCGGCAGCCTCTGCTTATTGGATAAGGTAACTGCTGTCTCTGTGTATGTATCTTAAAGAAATTGCGTGCAACAGAGCTTAATTAATAACCTGCTTAATTAGAGATGAATGAAGTGCAGAGATGTGCCTTTAATCCTGTAAAAGCAAAGACATGTGAATACTGAAACATTTTCCTTTACCTGACTGCATTTTGTCCCAGGTACTGCACAGATGTGTTCAAATGCCGTGTGTTAAATATGGGTGAGCTGTCACTACTATGATACAACCTCTGCTACTACCAGGGCTCAGATAAGATTTGGAGTAATGGGGGTAGGAGAGACCTATGCAAAACTCATGAAATGTGGAGTCTCCCACCTTTTTGGCGGCATGTTCCCTTCTTCGGGTGGATTTGGGAGCTGTGCTGAAGGAGGGGAGGTTTCAGCTCCCCTCTGCTCCTCGTCCTCCCCAGAAGCTAACAAAAAGGGGTTGGAAGATGGTGGCGATATAGAGGGTCCTGCTGGCTGTGTAGCACTGCATTTTCTTTTCTTCTAGACCAGCATTTCTCAACCCGTGGGTCGAGACCCAAAAGTGGGTCGCAAGAATATATGAAAGGGTTGTGAACAAACTTTAAAAATGGATTCTCCTTTAAAGGAGAAAATCATTGGAAACTGAGGCTTTTCCCTTGGAAGCTGGCAGAGTTTCAGCCTGCAACAGGCTACTTGGGACCCCCCCATGTCCTACACACACTCCCCTGCCCCACACTGGGGGTCTGGGGCCTGGGGATGGGAGCACTGGGTTGAGACTGGCCATTGATGTTTACAAATGGGTCCTGGTACAAAAAATGTTGAGAACCACTGCTCTAGACCTCACCCCAGCCCACCGAGTTGGTGGTGAGAAAGATGATGACCTGAAGGCTAGTAAGCTGTCCCCTAACCCACAGACCTCAATAGAGGGCTCTTTTTGGGGACACCTCTAGATACTACTTACAATGCATTGGGTCTCTGGGTGGGGTCACCCTCCTGTCTCCCCGTTGGGGGTACTGGTGAGGACCCCCACTTCTGCAGCTGTAGTAGAGCTCACCACTGAGGTGGGGCTAGTGGGCTAGAGCTTCTTTTTGCAGGTGTGACCTGGCCATGGTGACTGCTGTTGTTCTACAGATGGGAGTAGCTGTCCCCTCAGTCCCTGCATGGGTCATGTGAACAGCAGTAAATGTCTGCTTGCAAGTCTGAGGGATGGCAGCTTGCACATTTACCAAACTGCAGCAATGGCACGTGGTGTCTGCTGTGAAGGAGGGGAAGGCCTGCCTGGTCCTGTAGCACCTTCTGATGAATGCTGTATTCCTTGTGTTCTCCAGGACCCAGCCTTTAAGTGGCGGTGATCTCCCTCATATAAGCTGGGGCACCCAGTGTTTGGCAGGGTCCATTGGGCCCTGCCCTACTTCGAAGGGCAAATCAGTAAAATCTTGCCCTACTTCGAATGGGAAATCAGTAAAATTTTGTTGTGAATGATGCAAAAAATTCAGAGCTGCTTATTATAAAGTGTATCTTTGCCAGCTGAGGCAACCGGTGGTCTTGCTCACAATCCAACAGCAACAGCTCCTGGCACACTGTCATCACAGCAGATGGCTAAGTAACTCTTTCTAAAGTGCCCTTGGCTTATAAGCAAGTACAGATTAAGTGACAGCCTTCTCTCTAAAGTTTTGGATTTAGAGCCATAGCTGGACAGCTCTTCATCAAGAAGGTAAGTGCAAGGAGACATTTTTATACCTTAATCGTATTTATTTTCAGGGCTGTATTAGTTTGCTTTCCCTCCACCTGGTATTCTCAATAAAGCTGCCACTAATATTGATAGCAAACCAAATGAAATGCTATGCTCACTTAAGGAGCACTCTCCTTAAATAGGAAAGAAAAGACTTCTTGACCGTGATGGTGGTGATGAAAAGACCGTGTAGAAATCTGGTGGCCACCAGAGCTGGAAAAGACTTAAAGTTAGTCTTCACCAGCTGGTTGGTTGCTTTTGGATGAGTAAAGAAGGTAATGGAAATTGTCAAAAATGGGCAGAATTCTTTCAATTGAATACTGCATTGCAATTGTTTGAAATGTGTGCGGCTGAAGATTCCCAGTCACTTTGAAGGACATCATTTTAGGCTTGCGTTGTTTAAGACCAGATAACCTCTGTGTCAAAAGCATGGGTGGGGTGGAGACGGGGATGGGACTGTGTTCATTCATAACTTGATCCATAGTTCTGAAGTTTGTTGGTGCTTTGGGAGCACAGCCAAATGCTATATTTTGGCCTCTACTCTTTCCTTACTGTATTGGAATAAAGTTGGCACCGTTTTAATCAACGGGGAAGATCAGGTTTCTGGTGTGTTATTTATTTTCACAAGTCAATGCTGTTTTCCTTGTGTGTTTAAACATTTCATGAAAAAATGGGAGCAATCATTTTTGCAACAAAAGCAGATATTTCAGTATTACTAAAATATGTGGGTTTGTTTCTTAAACTACTGCTAGAAAATGAGAACATAAATAGAAAGCGACTCTCTTGGAACTTTAGACGGTGAGAATATCAAACGCACAGTCCTCTTTGATGAACTGATTGATTGGTAGTGCAGATGTATTAGATAATTGGGCAATGAGATTTCTCCTACAGAAACGCAAAGCACAGAAATATATAGTTTGTCTTTGACAGTTTTGCCCCATCCTAAGACCCGTGCCCTCCCCAAGTGCTATTCTGATCCCCTTCCCTTGTCTCAGCTGCTGCTCCGCTTTCTGCTCCCTGTGCCATCTCCCACATGCCTCACACATGGGCTGCTTGTGCCACTTGTGGCCCTTGTGCCCGCAGGTTGGCCACCTCTAGTCTGTGCAACAGGGTTTAAAATAGTCTTGGGTAATGAGGCACAGGGGTGGTGCTGAAACGCACTGATCTTAAACTTGTCTTAAACCTGGTATCTTTAAAGGAAACAGCACGTGCAAGTAAAAGTTTTAGAAGAGCTGACATTTCTCAGTGCCCGGATAGGGATTCAGG